TACATTTCAATGGCAATCTCGTATTATCGTTCCTGGTATTCTTTTGTTTGTGCTTCTTTCTCAATTCCAGAATACTTTGTATTTTGTGACCTGAGGTGGAACGTTGCCGTTCATGCGCCTCCTTGCAAAGAGTACATAGATTTACAGTGCAATTCAAACAATGATAGGTAGCCTAATAAAAGAAAAAAATTTAGACTGACTTATGCTTAATAAATGTGCGGTTGTAGTATTTACGCTCGTTTCTTCACAGCATAGACTGCACCAAATGGATGAAAGCATTTTTTCGCTCATTTTAAAATGTAACTCTTCTATCTTGCGTAAGAGTAAAAAATTCTGCGGTAATTGTCGTATACCGCCCAAAGGTAGCTCTGTAGGAAATTGGCAGATTTCACATATAATTAGACGCTTTGCATCGGGATTACATTGCGTTTCATCTTTAATTTGTTTGGTTCGATTTTTGCTCTAAAAACAGATAATAAAGCACTTGATAACATTATATAAAGAGAAAATGAAAATATTTTAGTAGAAGGTAGGGAAAGATTCCGTTTTTTTCGCATAAAGTATATATAGATTCATGATAAATGATTAGCTTTAGCTTCTACCACGTCTGCCTCTAATTGGGATTGTGGGGAAACCACTAAAATTGAATAACGTGCGTATCGTTGACACTTAACATTATAATTTCTGAGATCTAAAGATTGCCTAGAAGAGGAATTTTTTACTTCCGATAAGTAAATTGTAACATTTTCCAGATTTTGAAGAAGAAAATTTTGATATATCTGAAGCGTAAATAAATTCTTTGCTGTTTTCATTCCATCTTCTTCTTGGGCATAGCATCGAATTAAGACTATTGGGCTATCTTCAACATTTTCGGGATTTCCTATCTATCTTCTAATACTTGGCGATCTAGGGTTAAACGTGTCTACTAAATGTAGTTTGATTTTACAAACTCTTTCAATACATTTTGCTCGTACATTATTTCTACTCAATGCTTCGAAGTAATTAAAGATCAATTGTATTAATTTTAAAGTGAAAGGACATTGAGTCCTTTCTCATGGCTGACAGTGTAGCTATTTGTAAAATCTTTTTCGCGAATATTTTGTGATTTGATAATCATCAGCAAAAGTTCAACTGAATTGATCTGAAAAAGATCTTGTAAATGTATTGAAATAAATTTGTTTAAATTGGAGGCATATATATAAAAATCGATTCAAATCAGATGCAATTCTCTTATCGTCTTATTGTCTATGTAACATGAAAATTTACCTTCATTGTTAAACGATCCGTAGACTTTTTCTGTTTAAAACTAAAGGACGAATGACGTTGTTTGCTCGTAATAGTTGATAAGTCGGAATTACTACGTACTGATGTTATTTCCGGTGAAGAGGAATATAAGCTATTGCTGTTTGCTTTCGTAGTTGATAAGGCTGAAAGTAAATTTTGTAAGAAAAATATACACTATTGTAATCAAAAAGTAGCGGGACTTGTAAGCTTAAACTATTTCTGTAAAAAGTTGTGTGACTTGTACATATATAAGCCAAGCAAACATTGCAATCACCGAAAGGGCGAGAGTATACTCATTTTGTCGAAGAGAGAAGTAAGCTTCAGAGGCCCTAAAAAATACAAACATATATTTCGAACCGACCTGCTCGTCTTCTCCCGTCGGTCCGTTTGCTTAGTGTTTTTTGAAAAGCATACTTCCGTGGCTCGTTTATAACCCTCGACACCGCGTAAACGCGAGTTCTTCTTTCGATTATCGAAAGTGTGCTTATTATGCGCTGGTTGTAACGAGCCGTCTGCTAACGAGTTTACTCGATAACGAAGATTATAAATCCATCTCTGGCTATAAAAAATAAGTGTTCGGCTTGTGTTAAAATTAACCATTGAAAATGACCAAAAATTAAGTAAATATTTATAAAAAAAGTTTGTAGATTTTAGCTTAAACCTTTTGCATATAATAGACCTATTAGAAAATTCTGTCCGCTGTGATATTTTGGAATAATATCGGCCTATTTTATTACATATTTACGTTATACAAATTTGATACTTAGTGTAATTTTTAATCTATCGTTACATAGGCAAGGCAAAAGCGTCGGCATACGATCAGGGTCAAAAGCAAAGAGCAAACAAACGAGGGACATATAGAAAGAGTTCATTATTTTAGCGTTGCCAGCAACTTCGTCTTTACTGAGTTGCTATCTTACAACACATTACAAGAATGAAACAAAATTCTAGTTTCCGAATATAGTCTGAAATTATTTCTCTACCAAACTTGTGGAAATTTGATGCATCATTTTTGTGGAATTGCCCCAAATGCAAAGAAATGAAGATAGCAGGACAAAATCTCGCAGAAACATTCCTTGATCGATTGAGCCATTGAATCAGACCTACTCAATATGAAAGCTGCCTTAGTAGTTTAAGAAGAAAGTTGCGAAACATACGACCACTGGCCGACCCTGTACATAAAAGCTCTTTTAAACCTTTGTCTAAGCAAAAAATACTCTCTCGAATTGCCTTACTTCTCATTATCGTAAGTTGAATGCTCTTCACTTTGCATACATACTAGTCATGCGCACGCATTGATATGCACGAAAACATTTAATGCCGGCTTAATAAAAAATAACATTCGAAATAGCATTTTACCACCAAAAACCAAAGCTTTCCACTTAACATACAAATACCTATAGACATATAAATCTATGTTTATAGACAAACGTATACGTATACGCATAAATGCATATAAAATAGCATCAAAACAAACTACAGGAAACACTTGGTCAAAGAAAAAACATAAAAAATCTGTTATACATAGTTTAGACGGATGGATGGAAGAATGCATTGAATGCTCAGCGGGGTTGATATCTTAGTACCCGGGGAATAACAGAAAAAAAAAAAAAAAAGAAAACAAAACGAAAACGTATTGAGAAAAACATAAACTCAAAATAAACGAATATATATAGACGACAAAAGGAAATGATTCTGCATCAGTAGATGTGTGGGCAAAAGCACTCACTCACCCACAAACACTTAAAGCAAGGTCTGAGAAAAATGAAAAAAGAAAAATCATAAAAAAAAAAAAAAATAATAAATAAAATGTCTTACGAGCTTAAAATATTTAACGTGAATCAATATTAAAAAAAAAAAAAGAAAAGAAAAGTAAAACATAACTGTAATAGCCAAAGCAATAAATATGTTGTTTACTAAATATATCAAAAATCCACGTAAATTAAGAATTTTATTGCTATTAATGATTATCACATTAATTATATTAACTTTACTGCTTTTAAATAATGGTTTGCAGCATACAAATCATGAGCATTTAATCGATGAAAATTTTATAGCACGCGTGTATAACGGTGACGATAATAGTAAAACACGTAATAGCAATAATGTTAAAGTGGAACAATCTCCGGAAATTTTAAGGTCACCTCGTGAAAATGGCATAATTCAGCCTGAAAAATATGATGAGCAAAAATTGAAATCTCGCTTAATTAAGGAGAAAATACAAAATTTAAAAGATTTCAATAAAAAGAACGCAGTGAATCCCGAAGAAGAACATACCATTTTGGAAACTGTAACCACAGCGATACACATTTTCTATACCGCCCCGGTGCAATGGTATAAAAGCAAAAAATCGAACCATGCACCAAAAGAAATATTCAAGACAGTTTCTAATGCCACCATAGGAGGAACGGCATTGGCCGTAAAGTCAGCGTCTGTTCCAAAGGTCTTGAATAGTGCATTCTATCCTGCTTTAGGTTTATATAAACCGACAACGGGATTATTGCAACAACATCTTGAAAATATCCGTAATTGTGGCATTGGTGTCCTTGTACTTAGCTATAATGGTAAAGCCTCCGAGCAGGAATTATATAAAACCATTATCGAATTAGCTCCGCAATACAATTTAAGCGTAACATTTGAATTAAGTTTGGCCGGCAATCAAAGTCAAGGCTATTTAGAGAAACAATTTCAAGATTTGCAAACATTTCTAATGCTAAGAGGTTTCTATAAAGTGTACTCGCTTAGCAAGAAAAGAAAATTACCTTTAATTTATATTAGCAATGCGTATAAGTTAATTGATTCATCTGCAGCTCGAGCTTTTTGTAAAAATAAGAGCAATAATGTTAGTTCAATAAGGCAGAGGGTGGATGGAATTTTTATTGGTCATATTAGGTAAGAATCATTAAAGGAATACTTCTACTAGATAGATATTAATAAAATTCTTTTACTTATTATTAGGCTTAAAAATCATGCTGAATCAATGCGTCGCCTATGTTTTGATGGTTTTTATAGTAAGCTGCCAAGTAATGGTGCAACTTTTGCTAGCACTTGGAAAAATTGGTCGTATTTGAAGTCGTTTGCCATGACTTATAAAATGCTATTCGTACCAACGGTGGGACCCGGTTTTGCTGAACGCAATAAATTCCCCCGTCATGGTGACATACAAAGACATCGAAGTAATGGCCGAGTAAGTATTAGATGGTAATCTCTCAGAATTATTGTTATATTGTACGGTATGTGCGCAGTGTTTTTGACGACCCAATATGTTACTAGTAGTTCTAGTGTCGTATCGATTCCTTTATGAAATAAGAGAATAATCATAAAGAGAAGAAGAGTTTCGAGGCAATTTAGTTATGACCATCTATCTGGTAAAAAAATGTAGGCCAAGCCGTCAGCAAGCTGTAACTAACTAAGATATTTTTGTCAATATCGGTATTAATATTATACGATCGTAAAGTTAACCATCGTGAAAGTTTTTTAAGAAAACATATATAGATAGTAGTATCGGCAGTCCCACCCATTGTCTGCGTTCGTCGCAAAAGCTCAGGTATAAAAGTGTAGTAAATAAGTAGAATAATTTTAAGACCGGCTAATCGTTTCAGTCAGTCTACTATCGGTGAAAACCTTACGTTTCATTGCAGCTGTATACGCATGCACAATTTTTGCCCAACTTATATAAACTCTGCGTCTGTTACATTTCTAAAGTCACGATTTTTTCATTTGTTCAGTGAAAAGGATTGCTTGATATTACAAAGCTGTGAAATCTCCAAATTCCCAATACTATTAAATGTACACACATATAACTACTTCGGAGCTCGTCGTGATTGAATTAATATATGGAATCTCTAAAGAATGGCTTCAAAATTACCGCAAAAAAGTAAAACAATTAATTTGCTTTAGTCTATGACGATGCATATAAATTCAAAATTCGTTCCTACGTAAAGTATTTTCTCTGTAAATATGACTTGCATTTTATAACCTATAATATTAGCCAAGTTCTTGGTAAGTTATAGTTTTCGTTGTTTGGCTATTCGTCTACAAAGTTATAAATATTGTGCAAGTGCGTGTACCCAGCCCAAACAAGCGAAAATCAAAAGGTAAGCCATATTTTCGGACAAAGCGAATAGATACTTGCTGATTTTTGTTCGCTATATTTAGTCTTTTCAAAGCGTAGATTCAAGCATCGATAAAGTGGAGGAAACTAAATGAAAATCAATATGCGAATCATATTTTCGGACGTCTTACCAATTGTTGATTGTTGTCTATGATCATCGAATTTCTTATTATCAATAATAGAGATACTTTAAAAAATCCCTTACAACATCCTGGAATAAGTATTTGTGATTATAACGCATAGTTCTGGGTGTAAACTATGCATATATAAATAGCTTTCTCTTTGTCGCTAATAGTCGAGACTCTCAATATTTTAAAAGCTGAGATAGAATCCAGCAATTTCAGACATACGTCGTTAAAACTTACAAATGGTTATGATCTGTTCAAAAATCGTTTGCAATTAGCCAAGCAATTGCGTAGAAATTCCACAAATCGTTTATGCTCTATTGATCTGAATATCGATTCAAGGAATTCTATATCGAGCTTTGAATAAGCTTTTTGACTTTTTCATGATTTGTGAACGAAAGCCAAGGCAACTTTCCCATTGAGTTTATTGTAAAAGTAAAAAATTAATAATAATATTTTTGATAATTCTTTCTTTTTAGTACTATGGCGTGGCTTGGCGCACAGCTATATTGAATCACGTAGGCTTTATAAATATTGCCAGCTATAACAATTGGCCAGATGGCAGTCAAATTGAAGAAGTGATACCGAAAGCGGGTTTTCTTGATTACAATCCGGGAGCAAAAACAAAATATTTGGATTTAACCGCCCACTGGGTGGGAAATTTTATAAAAAATCGAAACGAAGCAGCCGCTGCAGCAACAAATAATCATCCAAATACACCATTAAGCTGTTATGAACTTTTAAATAATACCATATGTTAAAATCTGATATTAGCCAAAGGGGAAATTTGAAGAAAAACAAAAAACAAAAAAAAAAAGAAAAACAAAATGTTTTTTTCATCTTTTTGTAGAAAAGTTTGAAAGAAAAACTTTAAAAAACTTTTTGCCAAAACTCAGCAACAATATGCAATACACATAATATCTAAGCCTATTTACGTATATGTATCTCGAAACGTTTATAATAAGTAGTAACTACTTGAATGCCAATATGAAAACTATTACTTTGTTAATGAGAATTAATAAAATATTTTAAAAATATGTATACACGAACAGTTAGTTAGTTTATACAATTACAAGATTAGTCTAACGAAATATATTAAAGAAAATTTTTAATATTTATATATATTTAGTCTTCTTTCTTTTTCTTTTTCTTTTAGCATAATTATTAGCAGATTTTAAAGTAAAATTATCATTGTTTGTAAACAATATAAACTTTAGTAAAACAGTACAATCGCGTTAACATAACATATTTAGTATTAACAATAACAACAACAACAACAACGATAGGAACAACAATAACAAAAACCACTTGTTAAACATCTCAAATTATAATTCGTAATAAATAATAATAGTTAGATATCTTTTTCTATCTCTCTATATCTCTCTCCCTCTCTCTCTCTCTCTCTCTCTCTCTCTTTCTTTCTTTCTTTCTTTCTCTTACACCCCTCTCTCTCAACCGTATAATCATCATTGACTGATTTAATAACAAAAAAAAAAAAAAAAAAAATTTATAATAAAAACAAAATTTAATAAAAAGAAAAATATTAAAAAAATATTTACCTTTTGTTTCTGTGGGCTCTCTTTGCTGCACTGAATTCGGCTGAGACCAAAATGGTATGCTGACATCCTCTTTAAAATTTTCATTAACTATGCACTGAAAGCAAAACGTATGCAAACAATTTAAGCTTCGCGGATCTTGATAGATTCCTCGACACATCTGGCATTTAAATTCCTCAGGGAAAATCTCCTCCGCAGCCTTAGTAGGCACCGATTTATCTGGTAAAGGCGAAGTAGGAGTTCTAAGCGCATATAATTGGGTTTTAGTTTTAGTTAAACAAGATTACAAAAAAACAAGTAAAAACACTATAGCGGGCCATGGTCCATTATTAAATATCCTACATTACTTCGATTGATGCAGTTTTCAAAATAATATGTTATATGGGAAATGGTCGAAAATGTAATCCGATTCGAAATATTTTCAATAGCGTTCATCCTTGGGACAAAACAGGTCGGTGTACCAAATTTCATCAGACCATTTTAACATATTGCAAGCTGCAGATTGAACACAAAAAATTGAGACGGACAGAGGGACAGAGAAGCTTAGAAATGCAATTTGGTATAATAAAAAGTGGGTCTATTTCAAGTCCTTGTGGGTATTGCATACACTCGCGCTAATTTTATGTACCCTTGTATCACAAATGGTGCAGAGTGTAATAAATAAAAACATTATAAAAGGGCAAGGCTATCATCAGATACCCTGCTCTACTTTGCCTAATACAGACATTCGTTCAAAATCATGATAATACATCAAAGATTATGCATTGTCTTCATGTACGGTTATACATTTGTGGAAGTCAGTGCTCTTGTCCGAGCTATTCCAATAGCTTTCGTTCTTGAGCCAAAACCCGTCAGTCTACCACCGTCGAACTGCAGGTTGAACACAGGAAAACAAGACAGACCCGTAGAGGGACAGACAAGCTAAGGTCGATGCAAACAGTGATTCTGAATTAAACGCTATAATAAAAGTTGGTCTATCGCAAATCCTTGGGGGCGTTGCCTACATCTTCAGAAACTTAATATGCTCTTTACAGTAAGCGGCGCAAAGTATAAAAATAAAGAAATATAGACGGCAAGGCATAAGGAGGCTGTTTGAGAAAGAGTTTGCTGCTTTTGAAGGGCAAACAACCTTATCATCTTATAGTTACATATGCTATGCCGTAAAATCTACTCGCAATGCTCCACATCTCAAACTCGTTCTTGGTTCCTCAATGTTTCCTCGCATAAAACAAAGTACACAACAAGTTGGAAGTGGCCTTCTGGAAGAAGGGATATGTAAATGGAAGCATAAGAGAAAATCCGTACATTGGTATCATTATAAGGAATGGCTTCAAACATGAGTTTAGAGGAATTGAGATGATCTCCCATTCTTCATGCGCATCAACCGATGAATTTCAAGAGTAATATTTTTGCCGAAACTAATTGACTGAAATGTTCGACTGTTTAGGCAAATGATCTAAAACTAGATTTGTTTAATGAAATCGTAGAGTTAAGGAATCCATAAAAGCCGCAAGGCTGAGAACGATTATTATCATAATAGCGTACCAATGTAGAAATGTTAGACGTTATTATATTCTCATTGCTTCCTATATTTTGTATATATTAATAGGTTTCAATTATATAAACTTAAGATCCAACCTGTAGCTTCAATTGTACTTGAGTAAGATTCGAGTGTTTTAGATCTTCCGCTACTGCCTAAGCGTTTGTGTCAAGCAAATACAAATACAATGATAAGAGTAAGTTTGCAAGCTCGCATCAAGATCGAATGTCTGGAATGCATCGGGCGAGCTAGTCTTGGGCATTAGCTTACGAACGCCATTTCTAAGAAAACATTCTGTTTCTTACAAGTTGGGGCAAATGCTCCTAACATCTTTTATCTAAGTCGCTGATAACACAATTTGATGACACATTTCCTAATAATTTACATAGGATTTTAATAAAATATTTGCACAAAAAATGCGTACATCATCCGTAAATCTATATATATTTCTGCGCGAAGAATTTGCACAAGTTACTCGTTAATGCTGCCATGAAAATGTTTCATTTGACTTGCGTTCAGTGTATGAAGTAACACAATGAAGAGGATCAATTAGTTAATTTAGGATATTGAAGAACTTTTAGCAAAAATGTTTACCTTGAGCAATTTGTAGCCGTCTCAAAAGATTCCGACGAAGCTATACTCAATGGTAGGTTAGGAACCGATAATAAATTGCGAGCGATTTTTATCTCACTAGAGTTTTCTCCTATTTTCTTAACGTTAGCTTTTAATTCCGTTAATGGCGAACTAGATAGCAGAGAATTGCTTTTATTCTTCGGCAGTCGTACAGACGGAGGAGCGGGAAGATTAAGGGCAACATGTTTTACAGTATTTAGGGGTGGCGTTGCTGGCGAGCTATCGGTTTTTGCTTTTCTTATTTTTACATTTTCACTTTCACCCAACACACTATTACTACTTATACTACTACTGTGCACGGAAAACGAAGAAGCAGCACTTAAGACATTATCTAACATTGATTCAGGGGAAGTAGAGCATTCAGGCTGATCAATTAATTCCGAATTTAACGATGCCTTCCTATTTGGTATATGAATGTTTCCATTGATTCTATCCTTAGTGCATTCCGTTTTTGGCGTTTTGTTCGGCGCCTTCATTAAAGGCAATTTTGTTGTTTGCGGAATTGATGAATTAAATGTATTCGTACGGCGATCTTCCACGAATGAAGTCAATTTAATTTCTGGTAATTTTTGCATTTCTTCGTTTGCCGTTATTTGTCTCTCTTTTGCTAAATTGATGGGAACTATAGTGAAATTTAATGGAGTCGACATATGTCGTTGCCTATTGGATTTCTCATCGTTAGAAGCTTTAGTATTTTTCCAATGTAAATTTGTTGTTTTAATGGAATTATTGATTGGCGACATCGGCAGCGAGGAATTTTTAATAGTTGAAATTGTTGTTGTTGTTGTTGCTGCTGTTGTTGTTGTTTTTGAAATTTTTTTATTTCTGTTAAAGTGTTGCAAAGATTTGAACGAAACCTTCTCTGCATTCAAATTTAAACGAATCTTCGCCGTATCGTACGATTTGTCTAAAGCTCTTAAGGAATCACTGCTGATATTTTGCTTTTCCGTTACTTCCCTCGCTTCAGCGACTAATTCCCCGCGTTCTTCACTTGGTGCAATATGATATTTTCGATGAGCTGCCTCATCAGGCAGTTTCCACACATAGCTATCGCTGGATGTGCTTCGAATTATCTTAACATTATCATTAACATTCACTTGCAATTTCTCCGCTCTCGCTTCACTTTGATTTTCATTCACGTAATTAGTGCTCATTGCGTGTGTGATTATTATTAATTATTTAATTCTTATTTTTCTCTACATGAAATTTTTGTATTCTTTCTTCCGTGTTTTTTTTGCTTTGATAACTGTTGGTTGTGTTCGCTTAAAATTTAAATGTTAACTGTTAAAACAGATGTAATTGCCGTCGACGTAGAAGGCAAAAGCAGTTCTTTAATCCAATTAAAATTCGAACATAAGTGTATTGTACAAGTGCCACACGAATGAATGAATGAATGACTGCAAGCGCACATAAGTGCTTTTACTGATATCTAAATTATTGAGAATTCTGAATAAACATTTGAATGAATAAACAAAACAAACGCGTACATATATATGAGGTTATCACAAACAAGAGTTCCTTCAAGTAATCAACTAGAAGTATGAATATATTTTAATTGCATTTTTTTATTTTATTTTAAACATTGATTCATTTAAAAGCAAGTAAAAACAGTATTCATACCTTATATTACGACTTACATAACGACTTTTCAAAGTGAAGCGTTAAATGGAATGTGGTCAAAAAAATGATCCAATGCGAACCATATTCAACAGTGGTCATGTCAGAAGGAAGAGCTACTGTCACGAATCTCATGGAGTTTACTTGCCATGTTTTCAACGCTTTTTCTGATGGCTTTCGCATGGATGTTTATACTGATGTATATACTGTATTTGGTAATACGTTTGACTTAGTTGACCATAACTTGTTGATTGTCAAACTCTGTGCCTCTGCTTTCCCTTTATACTTAATGAATGGATCTGCATAACAAATCATTCAGGCTTTTGATCTCCTTCCTATAGGTGTTATGTAGAATCCATTGAATTATTTCAAAAGCAATTCTTGCTATTTGCTCGTAGGAATTTGGGTTGGGACCCGCTTGTCGTTTTGCCTTCTTCTCTTAACCCTCGAGATGCTTAGGCTTATTCCGAGTGTTTGCTTCTTAATTAAGTTGATAATTGGTAGCATCGATTCGCCCATATTACAATTATAAGCTAATACGTACTAATTTTAAGAAAAATTTTATCTTTTTGCACCAATTGCCTAAAATACAAATTTTAATCATTTTATGCTAAAAACTACTTGTTCTTACAAACCAAAATTTGATCGAAGGAACATAGAACTATTGAAAAATTCATTGTTGTTACATTAAAAAATATTACGCAATAAATTTTTCAGTTTGAATAAGTCTATAACTCGAGAAAGATATGTAGCCGCCAGTTAGCTACATGGGAAGTGGACGTTAAAATGCGAGCAAGAAATTTTTTGTAAACTGGCAGCAAATCTAACGATCATAGGACATTAGTTCCATCTACAGCATTTAAGAGAAACACCGACAAAAAAGCAAACCGCAAATCCCATCGACGCGTCTACCCCTCGGATTTATTGAAAACCATATAGAGATATTGCTGGAGGCATCGATTGACTTTTGCCCTTTAGTTTTCAGCCTTCTTTAACACGCACTCGTTTCACTTCGAAGACGGTGAAGATA